TGCCGTTAACATTTTGACGGTCCGAGCTATGAAAGACCTTGATATATCAATGGATGAACTATCTCAAAGCCGCTTGATGATTCAAGGCTTCAATCAAGGGGGGCAAAGGGCGATTGGAATGATACGTCTTGACTTGACCATCGGCGGGCTGAAGGCAAGCACTTTATGCCATGTCATTGATGCAAAGGCTTCATACAATCTCCTTCTGGGCCGCCCATGGATCCATGAGAATGGTGTAATTCCTTCAACGTGGCATCAATGCTTCATGTATGAGGAAAATGGCGTTGTAAAGAAGGTAGTAGCTGATGAAACTCCATTCACAGAAGCCGAGACATACTTTGCAGACGCAAAGTTTTATCTAAAGGCCAAAGTTTTTAAAGATGACGATGCAAGAAGAGAAGAAGAAGAGTATCGCCCCTTGGCTGAACCAAAGTTGAAAGGGAAGCTCGTTGAAGGCGTAGAAGGGCTTGTATTCCCTCTTGCAAAGATTGAAATATCAAGGCTCCCTCGAAACACATCTAAGGATGAAGTGAAACACGAGAATGATGTTAAGACATTTCAGCTCCCTAAGGCACGCACAAATGAAGGATTTGACCCAAACGCGTACAAACTTCTAGCCAAGGCTGGGTATAATCCCGATGAACAGATTTTGGGAAAACTCATTCCAGAAGCTGGTGGTGAAGGGAAACCGAAGCAGATCAATCTTCGAGGGCACACAGGATTGGGTTATGTTCAGCCGAAACCCATAAGGATCCTCATAAATAGAGCCGCAACGCATCATATCAGTGCTGGTGAAGAAGATGAAGTGACTTCTAAACCGAAGTATTCTGTCTTTGATCGGATTGGGGGGGCAAGATCAAGGCCCGCCATATTTGACAGAATGGGGCCAAAGCCAAAGAAGATAATGAAGAAGACTTTAGAAGAAAGGCTTGGAATGATCCCGATGAACGTGAAGAACGTTGAAGATCCATGTAGTGGGCAAAATTTTGCGCGGAAACCAATACATGAAAGGTTGGGGGGAAATTCGCTCATGTAAGAGGTCTTTCAACCAATATGCAAAAGCACAAGCTTCGAATGAATGCAGAAGCATGATTCCGTCAAGAATGAGACGAGAAACTGATGTGAAAGTCTCATGTGGAGAAACCCTCAAAGCACAACTCAAAACCATAGTTCATACTCAAATGCTTGAAAATAATGAGTTGATATCTGATGAACTAGCCGATGACAAGGAATACATTGCCTCATCTTACCATGTTACTTTTGAAGATGAAATTCCGGCCGAAGGTGAAGATGCTGATGAAGCTCCTCCTGAATTTGAAGACGGAGTGCGAACTGCCTTGGATGAATTACAAGAAGTAAACCTTGGCACCGAAGAAGATCTTCGCCCCATTTATATCAGTGCTCTTCTCTCAAGTGAAGAAAAACAAGAACACTTGGCCTTACTTCGAGAGTACAAGGACGTCTTTGCATGGACATACAAAGAAATGCCGGGGTTAGACCCAAAGGTCGCTGTTCATCACTTAGCGATAAAGAAAGGATGTCGACCAGTAAAGCAGGCTCAAAGGCGCTTCCGCCCAGATTTAATCCCATTAATCGAGGCAGAGGTAGATAAACTTATTGATGCTGGGTTCATCCGAGAAGTAAAATATCCTACTTGGATAGCCAACATTGTCCCTGTCAAAAAGAAAAATGGACAGATCCGAATATGTGTTGATTTCCGGGATCTGAACCTTGCTTGCCCAAAGGATGACTTCCCATTGCCTATCATTGAATTGATGATAGATGCTGTGACTGGACATGAAATTATGTCATTTATGGATGGTTTTTCCGGTTATAATCAAATCCGTATGGCTCCCGCGGATGAAGAATTGACTGCGTTCCGAACCCCTAAGGGAATCTATTGCTACACGGTCATGCCGTTCGGACTTAGGAATGCTGGAGCTACTTACCAACGAGCTATGCAAGCAATATTTGATGATATTCTCCACAAAATCGTGGAGTGCTATGTTGATGATCTCGTAGTGAAGTCAAAGGCCCGAAATGAGCATCTATTTCACTTAAGAATAGTATTTGATCGCTTGAGAAAATTTGGTCTCAAAATGAACCCTCTGAAGTGTGCTTTTGGAGTTTCAGCTGGGAAGTTCTTGGGATTTATTGTTCGTCACAAAGGCATTGAGATCGAACAAGCCAAGATTGACGCTATTGTGAATATGCCTGAGCCTCGGAACATTCATGAGTTGAAGAGTTTGCAAGGAAAATTGGCTTATATACGAAGGTTCATCTCGAACTTATCGGGAAGATGTCAGCCGTTTAGTCGAATTATGAAGAAAGGTGTGCCTTTCATATGGGACCAATCATGTCAGAATGCATTTGATAATATCAAGGCTTATTTGATGAAACCACCGGTTCTAAATGCACCCGTTGCCGGTCGCCCTTTGATACTTTACATTGCAGCTCAAGAAAGATCTGTAGGAGCTCTTTTAGCTCAAGAAAATGATAAAGGAAAGGAGAATGCCCTTTATTATTTAAGCAGAATGATGACCCCACACGAATTGAAGTACCTGCCCATTGAGAAGTTGTGTTTGGCTCTCATATTCGCAATCAAGAAGCTTAAACATTACTTCGAAGCTCACACCATAAATCTCGTCTCTAGGGCGAATCCACTGAAATATGTGATGTCCAAAGTGGTTTTATCTGATCGTCTTGCTAGGTGGTACTTGATATTTCAACAGTTTGAGATCGTCTATGTCTCACAAAAGTCTGTAAAAGGACAAGCTTTAGCAGATTTCCTAGCTGATCACCCTATCCCTGCTGAATGGGAACTTTCTGATGATCTACCCGATGAAGATGTGCTTATAATTGAAGTTTTGCCTCCATGGAAGATGTATTTTGATGGGGCTGCACATAGAGAAGGAGCCGGAGCTGGTGTTGTCTTTGTCACACCCGAAGGTCAAGTTCTGTCATATGCATTCACACTCATGGAACATTGCTCAAATAACGTCGCAGAATATCAAGCCCTCATCCTCGGACTTGAAATAGCTGTAGACATGAAACAAACGCGGGTTAATATCTATGGCGATTCAAAACTGATCATCAATCAAGTGCTTGGAATCTATGAAGTGAGGAAACCTGAACTACATCCTTACAACAAATATGCGAGGGCACTCATTGGATGGCTTGGTGAAGTTACAATTGAACACGTACCGAGAAAAGAAAACAAGCAAGCTGATGCACTAGCAGGGTTAGCATCAAACATGGCACATCTTGACGATGAAACTCAAGTACGGGTATGTCAAAACTGGGTAATTCCTCCTTTCATCGGAGAAGATGGTGCAACCGAAGAGATAATCGAGATGCCAACTACATCGGTTTATGATATTGAAAATGAAGATTGGAGACAACCACTCATTGATTATCTTACAGATGGGAAGTTACCTGAAAATCCCCGCAAGAAAGTAGACTTAAAGAGGCGTTCACCACGTTTCATCTACTATAAGGAGACACTTTATCGAAGATCTTTCGATGGTGTATTCCTTAGATGTTTGGGTGGAGATGAAGTCTTACAAGCAATGGAAGAGGCGCATTCCGGAGTATGTGGAGCTCATCAGTCCGGTCCTAAATTGCACTTTCACATCAAGAGAATGGGATATTACTGGCCGACTATGGTGAAGGATTGCATGGATTATGCTCGGCGATGTCAAGCATGTCAATATCACGCAAATTTTATCCATCAAGCACCAGAACCATTGCATCCGACGGTAGCATCATGGCCATTTGACGCTTGGGGACTTGATGTAGTTGGACCAATTACGCCTAGCTCGTCAGGAGGGCATTCATACATACTAGCCGCTACTGATTACTTCTCAAAATGGGCTGAAGCAGTTGCACTGAAAGAAGTGAAGAAGGAAAATGTTGCTGATTTCATCCGAGTCCATATCATTTATCGCTTTGGTATTCCTCGATATATCTTAACGGACAATGGGAAGCCTTTTGACAACAAGTTGATGGATAAGATATGCAAGTTGTTCGACTTCAAGCAACGGAAGTCCTCTATGTACTATGCTGCTGCCAACGGCCTCGCTGAAGCTTTCAATAAGACTCTGTGCAACCTGTTAAAGAAAGTAGTGTCAAGGTCAAAGAAAGATTGGCACGAAAGAATGGAAGAAGCACTGTGGGCATATAGAACGACCTATCGCACACCTACCCAAAGTACTCCATATTCTTTGGTGTATGGTACTGAAGCAGTCCTTCCCCTTGAACGCCAAATACCATCTTTAAGATTGGCTATTCAAGAAGGGCTTACTGATGAGGAAAATGTAAAGTTGCGTTTGACAGAACTCGAGGCACTTGATGGAAAGAGGTTAGAAGCTCAGCAGAACCTAGAATGTTATCAAGCACGTTTGTCAAGATCATTCAATAAGAGAGTTAGAATTCGTTCTTTCCAAGTTGGTGATAAAGTTCTAGCTGTGCGAAGACCTATCATTATTACAAGGAAAACTGGACACAAGTTCTCACCTAAATGGGATGGTCCTTATGTTGTTCAAGAAGTATATTCAGGCGGCGCCTACAAGTTGGTCGACGCAAATGGCTCGAAAATTGGCCCGATCAATGGGAGATTCCTAAAGCTTTACTACCCTTGATTTTCGGGGTGTGGATATGGCCATAGGAAATGTTGAATGACTTAAACCACCAATGATGTTGTAAGTGGCTAAACTGCTAAAACATCTCACTTTGTCTATGGGTGAGCATAATCATAGATACTCTTGGCCCACGAGAGTTAAAAATGTGTACGGCAAGCTCCTGGCCCGCATGAGTTAAAACTGTGTACGGCACCCCACCTTTTTTTTAGATTACCAATTCAAATGGTACCTATGAACTACGTTTGACTTGATCTCCTTCATAGGAGTACGTAGGCAGCTCAAAAATTTCATTTTTGAGTTCAGTTATAACAACACAAACCCCAATGAAGTTTGATCTTGGTAAGAAAAAAAAAAGTAAGACGATATCAACTCATGAGGAGCAAGAAAGCAATCAAATATATATCCATATATAGTTTGATGGAAAGAAAAGAAGGAAAGTGCTAGCTGACTAAAAAGCTAATCTATAAACAAGTAAAAACAAACTCAGCCTAAAAACAATTTAAAGCTGACTAAGTCATCCTTCAAAGCCTCTAGCTCCTTCTTCTGGGTACTTAAAGAAAGCTGATCTTCGTCTGATGCTTTGATAGTCTTCAAAATCTGTGAAGATTCCTCCTTGGCTTTTGTAAGAGCTGCATCTAAGTCGCTAGCTTCTGCATGATGCTGTAAAATCAAAGCTTCTACTTCCTTAGCTTCAGCTTCCAATAAGGCTATCTTCTTTTTGATTTCATTAAGAGATTTCTCGTCATCAAGTAATGCGACCTGATTTTGAGATCTCTTAGCTTCAATATCTGCACAAAAAGCTTGCAACATATCTAATTCCCGAGATTGCCTCTCCGTGGGGACCCTATCAGCAATAGCAGAACACTTCTGATCAAATGCTTGCGCCCTTTCAAAGAAATGCTTCACCCTTGTCTTCAACATGGAAAGGTCAATGCCTTCCTTCTCCATCAAGATAACACAACTCTCCACACTTTCCCGAAAAGAAGAGACGTTCTCTGTTGTAGCCTTTCCTAACTTCTCCTGAATACCACACCAAGTGTCAATGAGGAACCGCTTATACAAAGGAAAGAAGTAGTTCTCTGCTTGAAAAACGGATACAGCCGGTTTCACATGAGGGGACTTTGGTATCTCGTTGGTTGGAACTTCTTTGCAATTACTTGGGGCAATTTCTGCCATCAACCCCGCAACGGTGTCATGATCGTCAGTTTCTCCTTCACTTGAGCTAGATGAAGAAACATGATTTGAAGAACTAGCGTCATCAAGGATTGGATGAATCTGCAAAAGAAGGAAGAAACTATAAGTCCAAACTTGAGATTAAGTTAAATTGTTAAATAATGAGACTAACCCTCAGTGGCCCAGGATGAGGTTTTCTCTGAAGATGCTTCCAATTCCTATCTTCATTACTTTGCTTCTCAAGAACTTGATTCTCACTTGCCTTGGCAAGAGGTGTTTCTTTCTCAACATCCTTGATCAAAACCTCAGCCCTAGGTGCTGCAAGCTTGGCCTTTTTCTGAGGCGAGGACTTAGCTTCAGTATCGGGTACTTTTTTCTTTTTCTTGGAGACTGGAGTCACGGGATCCGAAGGGGTAACCACATCGCCAATAGCAAGATCGTAAATCCTGATCAAGTCACTCACATGATTTTCCAGAAAACTTCCATGGACTTGACCCCACCATTCTTTATACTGCAAGGAATAAAATTTCGCTGGGATAGTTGGAGGGGTCGGAAACACCGCTTTAGCCCGTGACATACCATGCGCAAACTGTTGCCAAAGCTGAAATCCAGAAGAAAGAGAAACACGACGATCACGCCTCTCAGGCCAACCAGGTGCATAAGCTTGGAAGTACCCAAACTGTCGACTAAAGCGATGAGGAGTGTAAAGCTCAGCAATGCAACGGTCTTGGTAGCGTAATACGAGAAAATTAGAACGAAGACATCTGAAGAATGCTAAGTCAGTCTCGGAAGAATTCTCGTCATCAAAGAAAGCATGGTCCTTGATCCTTCGATGTGTAGAACATATCCACGCAGATACATCTCCCTGGAAAATCCTCCTACGCGCCCTCGTTTTCTCAAGGGACCTTGCTCCACCTTCCCCTGAGTAAGAGATCATCAATGGGGTCGCGGACTGAATATCATTCTTGAAATGAGTGTCAAAGTATGTGGCCAACCATCCGTAGACATAATGAACAGGAAAACACGTTCTAACTTTGTCAGGGAATGGGGCATTTGAAATTTGATTAAGTCCATGATAAATACTGGCAAGAACTGGAACAACAAGACATATTTTCCTCCCGCAACTTTAAAAGTTTCTGGGCGAATAACCCTTGGACCTTCATGGGGCAATACAAAGGAACAAAGCCAACATGATAGGAATGCCGTTAAGTATATCTCTTCTTCATATTCAGCAGGAACCTTGAGTGCATGGAACGGTACCTTCATAGAATTCGACCACCCGCTAAACTTTGGAATTGCTCCGCTAGGATTATAGGTTGCCTTAGCACGGGATGATCTCTTCTTTTCTGTTCTCTGCGGAGGCATAACGTACTTAGAAGCCTTCTTAAACCAAAATTTGACCCACATATGGACACGCAGAGCACGTTTGTCTCCCACCGTTGGAAAAAGATGATGATATGCATCAAATAAGTATTTGCAAAGTTGAGAAGGGCGGTCAGCATCTGCATTCAACAAATCAAAGGTGCTCGGAATAGACTCATCATATGCATCTCCAATGATTGGTAATCCCCCAATAACATGTAAGTCCCAAAGTGTGATCGTCAGTTCTCCGATCGACGTAAGTAATGTATTCACCATAGGGCACCACGCTTCACAAAAGGCTTGCATAGCATTCGTACACCGATCATATGTGAACAAGGAAGCATAAACAACATCATATATAAGCCCATTCTCCAAAACACTTTTACTCAAGCTTAAAATGTCCTCGGCCCATTCCCAGTAGCCTGTGATGAACCTAAATTCGCCACCAAATAATAAGGTCTTTATTAAAGGGGCATTTGCATCAAGGATTCGTCTACCCAAAGAAGGGAGAATCTCGGAAGATGGCTTATGAAGGAAACCAGACACTAAAGTCCGCATTGTTTGATCTTGATATTCGCACTCAGGAGTCCAGTCTGCAACCCGGTAAGACACAACAGTCGCACCCCAAAACTCGCGAGCAAATGGCCTAAAAATCTCCAGAAGGATTTCTTCGCCATTCTTCTTCTTTGATACAGAGAGATACTTTTTGCCTCCACGCATTACGTCTCTAAAGTATACCATTTTGGACTGCAAAAAAAAAAAGTGTCATTATTATTATTATTATTAGTATTATTATTATCACTTAAAAAAAAAAACTAAGGTAATAATAATAATGATAATAATGATAATAAAAGAGGCAGCTCGGTGGTAATAATTTGTCTCAGGCCTAGACAGCGGACGTCACATTCAGACCAGACGAACGAAGAAATCGGTAACACCGGTCAATAATTTGTCAAGCTCCCTCAAAATGAACTAAGGTCGAAAGTGGCGGCGACATTTAAGCAGCATTGACGGTTAGAAATCGGCTTAATTCTTCAAACCGGTGCCATCCCAACAAAGGGCTAAGCAGCACCGGCGATCGGCAATCAGCCTAATTCTTCAAATCGGTGCCATCCCAACAAAGGGCTAAGCAGCACCGACAATCGGAAATCGGCTTGATTCTTCAAATCGGCGTCATCCCAACAAAGGGTTAAGCGGCACCAACAATCAGGAATCGGCCTAATTCCTTAAATCGATGCCATCCCAACAAAGGGCTAAGCAGCACCGACAATCGGGAATCGGCCTAATTCTTCAAATCGGCGCCATCCCAACAAAGGGCTAAGCAGCACCGGCAACCGGCCTAATTCCTTAAATCGGTGCTATCCCAACAAAGGGCTAAGCAGCACCGACAATCGGGAATCGGCCTAATTCTTCAAATCGGCGCCATCCCAACAAAGGGCTAAGCAGCACCGGCAACCGGCCTAATTCCTTAAATCGGTGCTATCCCAACAAAGGGCTAAGCAGCACCGACAATCGGGAATCGGCCTAATTCTTCAAATCGGCATCATCCCAACAAAGGGCTAAGCAGCACCGACAATCGGCAATCGGCCTAATTCCTTAAATCGATGCCATCCCAACAAAGGGCTAAGCAGCACCGATAATCGGGAATCGACCTAATTCTTCAAATCGGTGCCATCCCGACAAAGGGCTAAGCAGCACCGACAATCGACTTAATTCCTTAAGTTGGTGCCATCCCAACAAAGGGCTAAGCAGCACCAACAATCGGGAATCAGCCCAATTCTTCAAATCGGCACCATCCCAACAAAGGGCTAAGCGGCACCAATGACTAGCAATCGATCAAGCTTAGCACCATCATCTCTTGTCCGCATCACTAACAAAATTATGGTCAACAAGAAAAAAACCAGAAATCTGCCAAGCATCCTTTTCGGAAATCAATATCCACTTCAACCTCCGACGAACGTCCAGATGGCAGAAGAAATTGGAAAGACCAACAGCAGCAACTTTGAAGTGATTCTACTCTGTCCATCCTCAAAACTCGGAACTCGATCAGCGACCCAGCTTTATCTCAAGCACTGGCTTCATCTTCTTCTCTACATCGGCGGTCAGAACAAAAGCAGGTCGCCACAACTTTGGAAGATTCTGGCCGCAGTCCTCTTCTCGATAGGAATCATCTCTCGCCCGCCCCATCATGTCTTCAGGCACAGCCGCGAACTCAGCAAAAGAAAGAAATAAAAATCCTTCCTGAAATCAAAATCTGTTCTTCCAATTTGCACCAGTGGCCAGAACAAAGGCATACGGCTACAGCTCCGGAGTAATCTCGCTGCTAATACTGGTCCAAAGATGAACAGGAACAAGGACGGCGGCCAACCTGCTTGATATACTGGTCCGGCAACAAACAGAAGAAATCAGCGAGTTCAGTGTCCAAGCATACCATCGGTCTGCTGCTCACCATCGGAGTTCAACCCCAAGCTCAGCATCCTACGAATTGGATCTCTCCTCGCCGGAAATCAGCGTGAAAAAATCATCTCTCTCTAAGCAACCGGCGCTACTTTCAGCAGGGGTGGTTTTGTTAAGGTTACCAGCAAATTTTTTTTGTGAAATCTTCATATCCCTGCAATACGATAAAAAGAAGACAACTTCATAAAGAAAAAAAGGGAAAAGGGAATTTACCTATTGCTTCCTAGTGCTTTAACTTTATGCCGTCAGGAACTTTGATAATTTTTTGCAAACTGCTGGGAATAAGATCGAAGGTGCGAAAGAGAATAGGCTGGGTCTATATTTATACAGAGTAATACGACAAGTTCGGATCGTAAAAATAGAAGAAAGAAAGTCCTAATAGGACTGATTAGAGTCCTGGCCTTGTACGATGATAATTACCCATTGGGATTCCATGTTACGCCGATTGTTTACAATATTTAGCTCGAGGTGCTCTAATTGCTTTGGGATATCTACCAAGCCCCATCATCGTATCATGGGCTAAGTATGTCATTTGGATTTGAAAAGTCAATTCGGCAAACATACCTCTATATTTCTTTCGAGACTCGCTCTTTCTTATGTTTCCGTACATCGAAGCAAGTCTCGAGGGGGCAATTTGTGGACATTAAAAAATGTTAGGCCAATTATAATTATTTTTGAGCTCATTGCAAATGCTACCGAGCTATTCTTGACGATATTGAAGTGATAGTGGGTCATCGTCAGATTCTATGGAGCTGCTCGTGATGGTTGTTGGGCCTTATTAACAATATTAGTATGAGTCCATTCTAATAAATTTTAAATGATTAAATTAATCTGGATCATTTAAAATATCCAATTAATTTAATTATAAATTAAATCTTTAAGAGAATGGACAAGTCCTACTAATTTTAAGCCCGCTATCAAATATTGGGTCAATATGTAAGAGCCATGATCCAATTAATGAAGAGAGCAATGAATCCAGTCAAGAAATCTATCCAAATGCATGAGAAATGGCTACGAATCTTGTTAAAAAGGCTGTCCAGATACATTGCATAAATGCTGATTTTTCTAGCTATTAAAATGCAAGGAAATAAAGCCCGAAGCCCATTTTAATTGAGGCCCATGGGGTATGGACGAATTTCAGCAACCCTAAGCCATATTTTCACTCCCTCCACACCTATAAATAGGGGTCTCAGTTGAGAGAAAAGGAGGAGAACTTCCAGACGAAGAAACGCTGTAGCAAAGCTCTGAAGAACTCCCGAGAGGCTCTGAACAATTCCGAAGAAGAGGAAGAGATCAAGCCACGATTTTTCTCAAGAATATATGAATAATCCTTTGTGATTTCATCTATTCTTGATAAAATAAGTCCAAAAGTTGAAGAACGTTCGAAGATCTGAAGAACGAAGCTTGAAGATTTGAAGATCTGAAGAACGAAGCTTTGAAGATTCGAAGATATGAAGAACGAATCTTTGAAGATTTGAAGATATTCATATGAAGATTGAATCAAAATTCAATTGAAGATCAAGCCATATATCCCGGGAGGCCCTTAAACAGAAGATTAAGCCATAAAACGGCCCTTTTGTTGAAGATCAAGCCACTTGAAAACCGGAGGCCCTTCAATCTGAATTCTTTATTCAAGAAGATTTGAAGATCCGAAGAACGAAGATTCGAAGATCTCAAGAACGAAGATTCGAAGATTCGAAGATCTCAAGAACGAAGATTCAAAGATTCGAAGAACGTTCGAATATTTGAAGGATTAGAGATTTAATTTTGAATTAAATTCTTTAATTATATTACTTCAAATTGCAAGTGAAGAATCAGAGGATTCATATTTAGAGATTGTACCCAATATTCTCATATAATATTATTTGCGATCAATTTTAAGTAAATACTTAAAATTTGTTTCACACACATGACCGCTCTTCATGGGATCCACAAAACATTCAGGCTGGGACATATAGGTTTTCTTATCTAAATCACCATGCAAGAAAGCAGTGGTAACATATATTTGCTTCATTTCGCAATCATTATGAGCAACAAGAGCAAGCATCTTTCTAATCGTAGTAACTTTAACTACATGAGCAAAGATTTCAGCATAATCAACATTTTCCTTTTAAGTAAATCCCTTAGCTACAAGCCTAGCCTTATATATAATGTCGTTAGGCTCTTTCTTAACCTCAAATAGCCAGAGGTCAAAGGTCATGGGACGAAAGATGCTTGCTCTTTGGTCTCCAGCGGCAGAAGGTTGTGCAGGGACAGGAGACAGATGCTTCGTCTCAGGCGGTCAAAGGTCATGGACGAAGTATGGGGCTAGTGACTGGAACAGATCTGGAGTCGAGGTCATTCATGTTAGGTGGTGATAGAGGAGGTTTGATAGAAATCATGATGAAAAAGAGGCAAGGTGAAGTTACAGTACTGTTGGATCGCCCCCCCCCCCCCCCCCCCCCCCCCCCCCCGAACCGCCGCCATGGAGTGCATGCGAGTCTAAGGTTTGGAAGCAGCTTTTTAATTGTACTGTTTGTTTGCGATTTATTTTTCATGATAGGATTGTTTATTTTTTCGTTGGTTACTTTTATTGTTGTAAGACTCTAGCATTAGGATTGGGTGATGAGAGGTCTGCTTTAATCGTTATTGGCTCATTTATGCTAATTATAGGATCAACGAGTTATATTGTTTTTTTTTTAAGGTGATTGACTCTAAGTCTAGTTCGAGGACTGCCGGTTGCCTATGGTCCTTTTGTCGTTTTAGTCCCTATTTGAATGTTGTGATATCAATTTAAGCCCCTTCTTCCAAAAAAAATAGATTGATCAAAGTGCCAAAGTCTTATTATTAAAATACCGAGTATTTTGTTTGCATCTTTCAATTGTTTTTTTAATTGGTCTAAAATAATAACAACAATCTTAAACTCAAAATTTCTTTATTTTTACATCTGAATGTTTGACTTTTCAAATCATAACTATTCACACAAAAATGACAAAAATGTAATATTACCTCCGGTGAACTTAGGTGAGAAATAAGAAAAGTGAAAATTGTGTGGTTAAGATTTGTTCAAATGAGAGAGAAATGAGTAGAACCAGAACCAGTAATTAATTACTTTATTAGAAAAGTGGAAAAGTTGTTTGCAACAATTAAAAGCGATAGTTGACAAAGTCCAATGTCATTGATGGAGTACGTATATAATAATAAAAGTAATGCTTTAATTAAAATACTTTGTTTGATAAATAAGATCGAATATAAAAATCACATTTCAATTCAAGACAAATTTGTAATAAAATCCAAAGATTTAGAATAACAAACTTGTGTTATTTTAAGAAAATTACTAAAAAGAAGATTAGAGCTAAGGCATTGAAAAACTGAAATTATAGACACTTCACAATTTAGGTATTGTTAGATTATATTAACTTATAAATTAAAAAATAATAATCAAAAGGGGGTTATATTGACTCATATAGTCATATATCATACATTTATAGCAATAAGTAACAAAATTGATTGGCACAGGCTATGCATATCTATCATGAATTACAGCACTAAATAACAAAATAGTAGTAGTAGTAGTAGGTCTATAATCTTTAGCATCTTTCATTTCTTTTACATATTTTTTCATATTGCTTCTATGTTTTGTTTCTTTTTTATTAATACACGAAATTAAAATTATTAGGACATATTCCCCTTGGAGTAAATTAGTATCACATTTCACTTCCTATCTACTTACTAATAAAGTACAACTTTATTAATAATTGTTATAGAGTACAATTCACCAATTATCTAATTGCTATCAAGTACAATTGATGAATTCTATATTTGCCACTAATTAAGCACAAAACAGCCTTTCATCACACATTCAATACTTTTCATCAATAATAATGTCAGAATTTTACATTCCATATATATTTGATGGAGTATATGGACTCCGACCCCCCCGGTCTGCCGACTACTGGGCCGGGACAGCGGCCCACACACGTTTAGCGGATTCATATTATTGTACATTATTATTCAGATGTTCTAGATTAGCTTTTTATACTATCAGCACATTTATGTAACCGGGTCTGTCAGGCCCGTATTAGAGGCCCAGACCCGGATTTTCCCTATATATATTCCTTATAGGAGGCTTGTAACTCATAACAAATATTCATTCATTCTATACACTTTCATTATTTCTTCTCCATTCTTGTTCAATCTCTCTTGTTCATACAGTATGCGTATCGATTATCCATCAAATGGTGCTCACGTTGAGAGGTTGAACACAATCAAGTAAGAAACCCTCCCGAATTATCCAAAAAATTCATCCAAAACACACAAAAAAAATCTACCCAAAGCTATTCTAGAAAAGAAAATTTGGAATTTCAGATCAGGATTTTTCCAATCTGCCAGAACTTCGTCCTACTGCGCTTTGGCGTTGCTGGTCGCAGTTGGCTGCTCCATCTCCCCCGGCTTCAGCTCCAGGCAGCACCGACCCAACAGAGAAGGTACCAAGCCGCGATACCTGTTCGGATCCATGGAGCTGCTCGCCTGAGTTAGAACGCTGCCTTTCCTTCGAGCCAGTCACAAAAGTAGCTCGCCTGAATCGCAACCCCACCGCTACTCACTCGTTAACAGCGGCTAAGTGCAGTTCAAGCTGCAAGAAGCAGTCTGGAAAATCCAAACAATCGGATCCAAAAAAACCCTCCCAAACAATCCATCGAAAATAGTCTTGAAAATCCAAAGAAAAGGAAGAAATTTGGAATTTCAGATCTGAGATTTCCCATACCTGAGTCGGAGATGTCGCCGCCGTCCCGCCGCCGTACACCATCTGCCGAAGCTCGCCGCACCAGATGGACTTCGCCACGCCATTCTCAGGAGGTGTCATCGTCCCTAGAGACTTCACTTGTCCATCCCTTTGTGAAATCTGTTCAAAAGTTTGCCAGCAACTCCGATCTGAAATTCAGGAGCACGACTAGGCAAGTTGTCTCTTTAATTCCCTTTGTTGTTGAGCCATCATGTGCCGCCAAGACCGGTGCCATCCCTTCTGCCACCGTAGCTCCACCTGACCGGTCGCCGGTCGTTCCTCCATGTCATCAGTCGCCTGTAGCTCCTTCCCATTGACGTGAGGGATCTGCTGATTGATGATTTAATGAATTTCACCATCAATGGCAGCTTCGAGTTCGTAAGATGCAGACTCAAGATCGGATTTGTGCAGATTTATTTCTCCTTCGAAAACTATGGTGGACAACATTGCCGTCCTCAGTCGTCGCCTCCCTGGTATGACTGCAAAGCGTGACTTCCTTTTGGTACTGGTGAGCTGCGCAGACAGTGGACGAGCCGGCGGGGAGGTGGTTTGATAGGCATACTATCAGTTGACCCAGTCAATCTTTCAAACTTGTGGCTTAAAAGTGTAGTACGTGTTTTGCTTCCAGCTCATATTTGCCAAGTCTCTCCTTTTTTTGCCAAAGAAAGGCTGTCATTTGCCAATGGCAGAATGATAAGTCCGAATTTAGACACGCATTTGATGCGTGTTGGGATCGGCTTTTGATGGTTTTCCTAGCTTTAAGGTGTTACAAGTCTCAATTTTAGCTCAAGTTATGTTTAACAGGCGTTGGTTCGAGTTTTGTGTCATTTGGAGTCAAAATCAGGATTTTAGAGTTCAACATCGGCACTTGAGGAGCAATCGGGATGATTCGAGATGCATATGAGTGTTGATTTGAGAGCTATGGAGGTCACCGGTAGGTTTACGATGAAGATTTAATGACAAAAGAGTTCTAGGATTGGCTATGGGATCAAAAAGAAGATGAATGAAGCTTGAAAACGGCATTCAGGATGACCTTTGGTCAATCGTTCAAGCATATCGCTTTGTATAAGCATCCAAAGAACACGATTCAAAGTGCATAAGAAAGCCAACTTCAAGGGCTACAAATCATATGAAGACACTTTTTCAAGAATCTGAGAGGAAGAAGGTGAAAACAGACGATGAAGTCAGATGATCTCTGTTGCGATTTCAGAAAGACACCTTCCACCGTTTTGATCATATCTCTTGATTGGATGATTCAAATCACATTCGGCAAATTGGGGTGGATAGAGGACTTCATTATCTACAACTTTCATGAAGGAAGTTTTGTCAAATTCGGAAGTTTTACGCACGCCGTGCGTAGGGGAACGCACGACCGTGCGTCTGAGGCGAGAAAGCAAGGGAGACACTGCCAGCAACGCACAGACGTGCGTGGGGGGTACGCACGCCGTGCGTAAACCCGGGTTACGCGAAATTGAATCCCAAATCGACCCAAATTCATATTTTCCCCCCTTTTTCTATAAATAAGGCCTCCCTAACCCTTTTTGATAGTTACGAACATTACGGAGAGGCCTAGGGACGAATTTAACACCGTTTTTACGCTATTTTCTTCCAAGACCCTGGGATTATTTGTAAGTTCATCTTTTTAATTAATGACAATTATTTCTATTCATCTCAATTCTGTTGATTCTTCAATTATGAATTGTGAGTAGTTTAATTAGGGATTTGGGGTTGATGAAAGGGTTAATCATGATTGATGGCTAGATTTTTGTTGGTTTAATTGCATGAATGCCATTTAATTTGTGTTTGAATAATTTAACTGATATCTTTTGTAACCTGAAACCGCGGCTAGAATTACAATTGCTTGTAGAATAAATTAAGAGAGATCTAGTTTATTCTAGGACACATTCACACACACTTAATTGTTTGCTAAGAGATTAGTAGCGATTAAGGGGCCGTAAGCTCGCTCGTCTTGGCAATAATTTAGGATCTTGTCGAATGAGAGATCAGCCTGGTCCCCTAAATTATTGTACTCTACGCCGCGAGAGCGGTAAGAACTTAGTAATGATTAGCTAGGCTCAATTGAATTAATTTCATGTAATTAGGCCTGATCTGCCAGAAATCTGGTAACCCCGGAATCAATCCTTGTTCCCTTCGTCGTTAATTGAGAAGAAACCACTTTTATTTTAATCGTTCATTCGCATTAGTTTAATTTTTATTCAACCAACCAATCTCGCACGACGCATTTTTATTTATTTATTTTTAATCGCTGAATTTAGTTAATTCTTAATTCCCTTTTGTCCGTCCCTGTGGAGACGATACTCGTACTTACACCACTATTCTACAATTTTTTCAAGTGCGAGAAAACACACATCACAGAATCACTAGGGAATTGGCTCAGACGTACTCAAACCTTATGGGCCAACATTATCAGGACGTTTTTATTTTGAACATGCTTATTCAAGACTCAAGAGCCGTGGATCATTCAATCCAAACGTGGATAATAAAAAGATAAGTACTCTTTAATTTTTATATTATTTATATTTATTTAAATCACCTTTTTGTCGGTTAAATGTCACACTATCACGCGCTTATGATCAAATGCCTAGTAGAGTGTGGCTTGAGACCCATCACTAGGATTT